AAAAATGGGTCCACAAAGAAGGCTGGGAATTTATGTTGGGTTTGAATCCGCATCTATAATTAAATATCTTGAACCATTGACTGGTGACTTATTTACGGCTAGATTTGCCGACTGTCACTTTAATGAAGCAGTATTCCCAGCCTTATGGGGAGAGAAAGTGGACCCACGCAAGAAAGAAATAGAACTTATTTGGAATGCAACACAATTGTTGATGTTAGACCCACGAACAAATATGTGTGAACAAGAAGTCAAGAAAATTGTTCATTTACAAAGTGTTGCAAATCAATTGCCCGATGCATTTGTAGACACAAAGAAGGTGACAAAATCACATATACCAGCAGAAAATGCCCCTGCACGTATTGAAATCCCAATTGAAAATAAGGCCATTGAGAATGAATCTCAGGCATGCAGAAAGCGTGGGAGACCACTTGGTTCAAAAGATTCTAAACCAAGCAAATTGAAAAGATTGGATGGAATAGAAAATGAGACTAATAATGTTCCCCCGTCAGAAGGTCGAAAGACCAAATATGGATGAAATTAAAGAAAATGATGATAATCCAAAAGGGGACGAACAAGAAGACAACCCTACGAGGAATGAACAAGATGTTCAAAACGTCGATAACAATGAAATTTCAATGAATTACGTCTCTACCAAGACTCATTGGAATAGGAAAGATGTTATCGTGGATGAAATATTTGCAAATTCCATCGCAATCGACATTGTGTCTGATGAAAATGATGTTGAACCAAGAACAGTGGAAGAATGCCGACATAGGAGTGATTGGCCAAAGTGGAAGGAGGCAATGCTGGCTGAGTTGAAGTCACTTGAAAAACGAGAAGTTTTCGGAAAGATAACTCTTACACCAGCAGGTGTAAAACCTGTTGGATACAAATGGGTATTTGTGAGAAAACGTAATGAGAGAAATGAGATAGTTAGATACAAGGCAAGACTTGTAGCCCAAGGATTTTCTCAAATTCCAGGGATTGATTATGAAGAAACATATTCTCCGGTAGTTGATGCAACTACATTAAGATTTCTGGTAAGTTTGACAGTCATAAAAGGACTGCAAATGCGATTAATAGATGTAGTGACTGCGTATTTGTATGGGTCACTCGATACAGACATTTACATGAAAGTCCCCGAAGGACTGAAACTGCCACAAAACCACAAGCCTAGACAATTACTTTCCATAAAACTAAAAAGGTTACTTTATGGATTGAAACAATCTGGAAGGATGTGGTATAATCGTCTCAGTGAATACCTTGTGAGAGAAGGGTTCAAGAACAACCAAATTAGTCCCTGTGTTTTCATAAAACGATCACAATCAGGATTCGCTATTATTGCAGTTTATGTTGATGATTTGAATATCATCGGAACCCCAAATGAACTTGAGAAAACTGCAAAATACTTGATGAAAGACCTTGGAAAAACTAAATTTTTCCTTGGATTGCAAATTGAGCACTTGAGTCTTGGTATTTTTGTCCATCAATCAAACTATACAGAAAGAGTTTTGAAAAGATTCTTCATGGACAAAGCAACTCCAATCAACTTCCCAATGGTTGTTCGTTCTTTGAATATGAAAAACGATCCATTCATACCCCGAGAAGAAAATGAAGAAATTCTGGGTCCAGAAGTACCATACTTAAGTGCAACTGGGGCCTTAATGTACTTAGCTAACAACACTAGACCCGACATAGCTTTCTCTGTAAATTTGTTAGCCAGGTACAGCAATGCACCGACATACAGACATTGGAAGGGAGTCCGACACTTACTCCGATACCTACGAGGGACACAAGACCTTGATTTATATTATGAATCGAAACAAGATGCTGCTCTCGTTGGGTATGCAGACGCTGGATACTTATCGGACCCTCAAAATGCCAAGTCACAAAATGGATATCTGTTCACTTATGGCGGCACTGCAATATCATGGAAATCAACAAAACAGACATTGACCGCGACATCCTCAAATCATGCAGAGTTGATAGCCCTTTATGAAGCAGGAGGAGAATGTGTATGGCTAAGGTCGATGATTAGTAATATCCAAGAAGAGTGTGGAATGAAAGCAATAACTGAAAATCCAACCACCATATTTGAGGACAATACAACATGCATCTCTCAAGTAACTGAAGGATATATTAAGGGAGATAGAACAAAACATATATCTCCAAAACTATTCTTCACACATGATCTGCAAAAGGATGAGGAAATAGATATCCAGCAAATTCAGTCTTGTGACAACCTTGCCGATCTGTTCACCAAATCACTTCCTTCCAAGAAATTTGAGCAATTGGTTCACAAAATTGGGATGCGACATCTTCATGAACTATGCTGAAATCAAGGGGAGTATTATATGCACTGCACTCTTTTTCCCTTCGATCAGATTTTTATCCCACTGGGTTTTTCCTGACAAGGTTTTTAACGAGGCAGTATACCAAAGCATATAATACAATAATATTGTTGTACTCTTTTGGCTATGGGTCTTATCCCATAAAGTTTTACCTAGCAAGATTTTTAGTGGCATTCAAGGGGGAGTGTTAGAAGATAAGTCTAATAAGTGAATGCCAATTATTGATTTGATTACACAATGCTCATATAGGTCCAAACACTTGTGCTTTCATATGGCTTTATGTGAGTAATTATTGTATTATTAGTGTAACTCATGGCTATAAATACAATGTCATAGAAGTAAGAATACAATCATAACACTACAACAATTTCACCCATCTTCTTTCACTCCTTTACTCCTTTTATTAATCAAAACTTTTCTATCGGTAAATTCTTTTAACACGTATACTTTTGTTATATCAGCATTATAATTTTTACAGAATTAAGTAATTAAAAAAGTATATTCAAAACGTTGCTATCATACAATAATTTATACACCTTTGGGTGATTTTTAGAGCCTCTCTCTAGACTTTTTCTAGAGGCTTTCTTTCTTCCCTGTCATGGATTTCCCCTCCTCTTCTCAACCATTTCAACCTTCCCTATAGACCCAAAAGAATCTATCTAATGGACCTATTTCAGTCTCGAAGGTTGAGATGGTCTGTTTCTTTTCTCATGTAATTCTGCAACCATGTGGTGGATACAGATAATATTATGTTAATTTTCAAGGGGCTCTAAGGCTCTTATTGTTTTTCTCCTCATGGAACCCTGGTCAAGCCTTATGTGATGTTTTGTTTAACAAACTTGCCTTGTGGGTAAAGGTTGATGCCTTGATGGACTCCCTCTTAAAGTAATTGAGACTTTGACGGCTAGTAGAGCATTAGCTAAGATTGGTTTAGACACTTAAAAATGTCTCCAAAATAAAGCCCAAGAATAACTTCAATGACTAGTTTGGTTATAGTCCATTGTCATTTCCTAAGCCGAGCAAATTTAAATTTTGTGCTTCATATATTTTTGTGCTTATCTTACATGATTGGATATCCCTTGAAGGCTTGAAATAAGATTCCAATGATATATCATGATTGGATGGATATCGTGTGTAGTTGCAATACTTGTAAAACTTTCTAAAATAGAAGTTGTTGCAATGTTTGTGAAACGGAGGAAGTATTATTTAAGGAGCTGATTTTTTTAAAATAAGTATTTTTATAATTAAAATTTTCAAGGTAAGAAAAGATAATAGGTAAGTTTAGGGTTTTTAAATTGAGATAGTACTCAGCGTTTTTGGCACAGAAAGGATAGGGCGGGGGGGGGGGGGGGGGCGGGGAGGAGGTGGGGTGGTGGTTTTTTTTTTGTTTTCATTTTTTAAATTTGTTTTAAAAAAAATTATTTTATTTTTTTTATCAATCAAGGCTTGACACGTGTTTAAGTACCTGTTATTATAGTTCATTGACTTTTGTTGACTGGTCATGACTTGTTAGGAAAAAACACCCCCAAAGTTGGGATTATAAAAAAATAATTGATAGTTGGATTAATAAAAGTAAATGACTCAAAGTTGGAATTAATATTACCAAATTTTCGGGTATGTTCTATTCACCTGATTTTCACTTATCTAAACTTATCTTATCTAATCTGAACTTGTGAAATTACCTGAATTTATCTGAACTTAACTAAACTTATCTGAAATTATTACACCTGAAATAAGTGAAAATAAGGTGAACATAACAGACCCCTCCTATTTTCAAATATAAGTTTTTTAAATTCAAACTTTTGTTGCAGAACTTACATAGAGCCTTTATTCTTATTATGGAAAAAAAATTATTACAACATTTATAATTAGTTTGATTCTCCTGCTAGACTAAATCCACAATTAGGAAAAACTGAAAAAAAATGAGAGATGAGAATAACGGAATATATATTATTCGGAATAACAATTTCTAATAATTTATGCATTGGTCAATCAATTTAGTGGCGAACCTATCAATATTTCAAGTGGGTTCAAATGAATTAAAATACGTAGTATACTAAATTCTAATTAAACTTAAATATGTTAATTATACTATTTTTGTACACATATTGTACATATATTGCACATATATCATATATATAATACGTGTACATATATTATTGCATATATATAACATCCGCACATTAAATTGACTCATTTAATTAAGTTTGGGTACCTTATATTTGTCGATCGAACTCGTAGATTGTTTCTCCAATAAAAGTAATTTAATTGTCTTATCTTCTTATTATAATTGAATAATGTAACAAGCTTTTACAACAGTTAGTTAATAAGTGGGGTCGATTGACGTCATTATCTTAAACATGGCTCCGCCTATGGTTGCGTGGCTACTTAAATTTGAATAGTGGGAGCTATTGGCGTGATGATATTTATATTATTTATGTGAATGAACCTAGCTATGTTATGTGGTGGTAGAAGTGAGCGACCTTCGAAAAGGGTGAGCAGCCAATGACAATCTTTAATAGACTTATTAAAAATGAAAATGAACTTGCTTTTTTGGATGAAGAAGATGGTTTGTAAAATTTAGAGTTGATAGGAAGAGGTGGATGCGGTAAAGTATACAAAGCAGAGTTGCTAGGGAGCAATGGCAAGATGATTGCAATAAAGAAGATAAAGGGACTGCCTACTGAGGCTGCGAAGCTCTGTGAAGAAGATACGGAAAGTTTAGAGAGCAATATGCATGCACTCAAGTTGGAGATACAGGCTGTCGGAAGAATAAGGCACTGCAATTTGCTACCTCTTCTTGCTCATGTTCCACGCCAAAACTGTAATTTACTTGTGTACGAGTACATGAAAAATGGTAGTTTGCAAGACTTAATGGTAAAAGTAGCCAATGGAAGCACAGAGTTAGATTGGTTAATTCGACATAAGATAGCCATTGGAATGACTTATAGACTTGAATATCTCCATATATATGAACAGTAATCGCTGTATCATTCATAGAGATCCTTTTTGATGATGACATGGAGCCTCGCATTGTAGAATTTTGGCTAGCAAAAGAAATGTTAATCGATAAAAATCACGTCATTCTCAGTTGCTACATGCATGAACATTACAGTATATGGCTCCAGAGTATTTTGAGGGTTGTCAGTTCACAAACAAATGTGATGTATATAGCCTTGGACTAATTCTTGAAAGCTTGGTACGAGATAGGAAAGCCTTTGGAAGATAATTTCTTTCAAGAAACAAGAGAGGTGGACATGAAGATATGGATGAAGAATATTATGCCTTCGGAGAATCCTAAAAGAGTAATCGATCCTTCACTATGGATAATGGGTATGAAGAGCAAATGCTTCAAGTTGTAAATATTTCATGCTATTGCACCCATATTGACCCTGAACAGAGGCCTAATAGTTATGATATTTGTTGCATGTTGGATCGAATTAGTTACCCAAGTACAAGTGTGGCTTTATTATAAAATTATGTCACATCAAATTAAAGCATATCTAGTGCGTCTATTTGTTTAACTTATGCTTCAAAGTATTATAATAGTTTCTTAATAATGGCCACAACAAACACCAAAAGCTCTCAACGTGAATGGCAGACCTAGCAATTATTTCAAGTGGGTTCAAATAAAATTAATATAACTAAGTTCTAATTAAACTTAAATATGTTTACTTAAATGAGTCAATTAATGTGCAGATGCTATATGTGCAATATTAATATATGTACACGTACTATATATATGATTAAGTTTGGCTACCTTATATTTGTTGATCGAACTCGTAGATCGTTTCTTCAAGAAAAGTAATTTAATTGTCTTATCTTCTTATTATAATTGAATAGTGTAGCGAACTTTTACTAGAGTTACTTAATAAGCAGCGTCAATTGACCTCATTATCTTAAACATGGCTCCACCTATGAGCGTGGCTACTTGGATTACTTGCTGGAGGAATAGTGGGAGCTACAGGCGTGACGATATATGTATTTATTGTGAGAATGAGTCTAGCTATGTTATGTGGTGGTAGAAGTGAGCGGCCTTTGAAAAGGGTGAGCAGCCAATGACAATCTTTAATAGACTTATTAAAAATGAAAATGAACTTGCTTTTTTGGATGAAGAAGATGGTTTGTAAAATTTAGAGTTGATAGGAAGAGGTGGATGCGGTAAAGTATACAAAGCAGAGTTGCTAGGGAGCAATGGCAAGATGATTGCAATAAAGAAGATAAAGGGACTGCCTAAGTGCCTATTGAGGCTGCGAAGCTCTATGAAGAAGATACGAAAAGTTTAGAGAGCAATATGCGTGCACTCAAGTTGGAGATACAGGTTGTAGGAAGAATAAGGCACCGCAATTTGCTACTTCTCCTTGCTGATGTTGCTTGACAAAATTGTAATTTACTTGTGTACGAGTACATGAAAAATGGTAGTTTGCAAGACTTAATGGTAAAAGTAGCCAATGGAAGCACAAAATTAGATTGGTTAATCCGAAATAAGATAGCCGTTGGAATGACTTATAGACTTGAATATCTCCATATGAACAGTAATCGCCGTATCATTCACAAAGATCTCAAGCCACGCAACATCCTTCTTGATGATGACATGGAGCCTCGTATTGCAGATTTTGGGCTAGCAAAAGAAATGTTAATCGATAACACTCACGTCATTCTCAATTGCTACTTGAACATTAAAGTACACTGCTATTTCGAGGGTTGTCAGTTCACGGACAAGTGTGTTGTATACAGGGGCTGATTCTTGGAAGTTTGGTGATAGGAAAGCTATTGGAAGATAATTTCTTTCAAGAAACAAGAAGGGTGGATATGAAGATATGGATGAAAAATATTATGTCTTCGGAGGATCCTAAAAGAGCAATTGATTCTTCGCTAATGGGTAATGGGTATGAAAAGCAAATGCTTCAAGTGCTAAATATTGCATGCTATAGCACCCATATTGACCCTGAATAGAGGCCTAATAGTCATGATATTTGTTGCATGTTGGATCAAATCAGTTACCTAGGTACAAGTGTGGTTTTAGTATAAAATTCTGCCACACCAAATTAAAATATATCTAGTGTGTCTATTTGTTTAGTTTATTGCTTCAAAGTAATATAATAGTTTCTTAATAATGGCCACCACAAACACCAGAAGCTCACAGCGTGAGTGGCAAACCTAGCATTATTTTAATTTCAAGTGGGTTCAAATAAATTAATATATACTAAATTCTAATTTAACTTTTTTTTTTCTGAAGAAAATTCTAATTTAACTTAAATGTGTTTATTATATTATTTTTGTACACATATTGTACCTATATTGCACATATATCATATATATAGTACGTGTACATATATTAATATAGCACATATTGCATCCGCATATTAATTGACTTATTTAATTAAGTTTGGGTACCTTATATTTGTCGATCGAACTCGTAGATTGTTTCTCCAAAAAAACTAATTTAGCTGTTTTATTTTCTTATTATAATTGAATTATGTAGCAAACTTTTACAAGAGTGAGTTAATAAGTAGGGTCAATTGACCCCCTTATCTTAAAATGGCTCCGTCTATGTTGGTCATTATTGTGTGTCTAAATTGTGTGTATATATAAAGATGAATGTTTCATTTGTTAATATAAAAGGAGTCAATTATTAATCGTTAACTTGCATTAAAGATATATATGTGTTATAAAAATTCATATGTTGATTTATAAAATTGTGTATCGTAAGGGCACAATAAGTTCATAATACTTGTATAAATTAAGATAGGTTCATATAAAATAAAATAATTTCACAACAAATAACTTTTTAAAAAATTAGATGAGTAAGGACCATACTCGATCAGTTTCATAATGATCGCAGATATTAATATCTTCAATTATTCTAATGTAGTAATCCCTCCGTTTCGAAATGATAGTTCATTTTGACTTTGCATGATTTTTAAGATGCTCCTTTCACCATTAATATCTTTAATTATATATTAACAAAAATTATAAAAATTTGATACGAAATATTAAAACTACTTACCGATACGTATCTAACAATTATCACATAACTATATTTTATTTTTATATATTAATATGAGTTTTTGGCCAAAATTTTAAAATTTAACTATAAAAAAAGTCAAAATGAGATTATTAAATTGTAACGAAGAGATATTGTAATTTTTATGACCATGAAGATTTGACAAAAAAAAAATACATAAAAAAATGAATGGAGATGTTAACACGTGTTATTCTCCCTTTAAACAGTACTATCTAATACGGAGTAGCAAATAGCAAATGAAGAAGTTTCGGCAAAAAAGTTTGGCGGGGTTTAAAAATTTTGAAAAACTTTGACATTTCCCACCAAACTTCCTTCCTTCGTAATCTTCTCCCCTTATCCTTTTAATTCATCCCCTTTCTACCATTTCTTCCTCTTTCATTCATATTTTCACTTTCATTTTTTCGAATTCTGCCAATCAATCTCAAAATCTAAAACCCAATTCTTCAAATTCTTCCTCAGAATAACTTAACTCTGTCAATTTCACAGTAATGGCCGATTCGTCGCATCTCGAAAGAATGGGCCGAGAGCTCAAATGCCCTATTTGGTATATTTTCCCTTCTACCCATTTTCTCTTTTAATTTTAATTTACATTCTAATTTCTCTAAAGAAAATTCTGGATTTTTTCGAATATATTTTCATCTGTTTTAACAAGAGTAAACTTGAATTGGGTTATTTTGCAGCTTGAGTTTATTTAATTCTGCTGTTTCTCTTACCTGCAATCATGTTTTCTGCAAGTAAGTGACTATCATTTTATTTTCCTTTTTCTTTATTTTATGGTTTATTATAATTTTTGAATAATATATTGATTGATTTTTCTATTAATTTCAGTTCATGTATTTATAAATCGATGAAGTCAGGCTCCAATTGCCCGGTTTGCAAAGTGCCTTATCGGCGCCGAGGTCCATTTACACCTCTCAATTCCTCTCTAAATTCATTGGGTTTTTGGTGTTAGTTCATTTTATTTATTATGAGTATAATAACATTAACATTAGGTTGTCCAAATTGTCCATTGTTTGCCTGCTATTTCTTCCATCTCTGAAAGTTCGTTGTGTTAGACGGTGATTATCTCACAAAAAAGTAAATATAATAACTCTTGGAGATTGAGGAATTGATATTGATGACACATTTAAGGAATTTCTCATTGTGTTCATAAAATGCTAGTATTACACAAATATATTGCAGTAGTATTTACCTGGTTAATACTATACAGTAGTTTATGTCATAACACCTTGAAATTTGTACAGAAATCAAAGCTAGAAATTTGTACTAATGAAATGAAAGGGAAATTAAGAATGTCGAAAAAAGATTTTGTTGGCTGAGGGATTAGGGAATTAGTTGCTGATATCTAAATCTTATTGCATGTGTTTCTGTTGTCCTTCGTATAAAAATGCTAAAGGTGCACTAAGGTGATAGAGGTTCTGATATCGTAAAGAGTTAGTTCTTTAAAATAGAGTACTTCAGAAAGGTTGGATCCTTATTGACAGTTGATGTTTCTTCAGTAAATCAATGACTTTCTCTAAACGAGCTCTTCCTTCTTGTGCTGCAGAAATTCGTCCTGCTCCTCACATGGACAATCTGGTAAACATATACAAGAATATGGAAGTTGCATCAGGGGTTACTCTCTTTCTCTCTCAAAGTGGACCCTTGACCAAATTAGCAGGTAATGAAGCATCTTTGTCCAGATATATAAAGGATTTTAGTAAGAAGTTGTGAAAACATTGCCTACTTGGGCCTTAGTTTTTAAACCTCGGTTATTGTTGTGACTGAATTTGTTTGAAGACTTTAGCTTATCATTTTTAATTCATTTTTTGTTCCTTGCATGGCTTAATTGAATCACTGATCCCTTAATTGACCTGCTCATACTCCTTACATGAGTGGCATTATTATCCAATGGCTGTTGTGTCATATGGAGTTATATTTTTTCTCATAGAAGTGATAATATGATGTAGAATCTAAGGCATGAATTGAATAAGTTGTCACTTGATTCTTGACACCCTGATTTAATTACTTGGCTTATTGAGTAACCTTGTGTTATGATCTTGTTTTTTTACCGCCTGTTTAATTGTTTTGCTAGTTAATAAGCCCATGATTTGGTTTAGCTACTTTATCATTAGTATAAATAAATGTCTAATTTCATTCAAGGGTCATATATTCACGTGTTTGGAGTAGGCATTCAAACCTTTAATATTTTATTCAAGATCGAATTAGGATTATTGCTTGATTGCTTAGATTAGGAGTAATATGAGGAACTTCATGATTGCTTAGATTAGGATCAAATTATCAAGTGTGAGAGTTTGATTAGTTTTCTATCCAGAGCGATATCATAATGGACCCTAGTTTGCAAAGGCCACTTCATGATTGTTCACAGTCTTGGCACCATATCTCAAAATCCCTTAGTTATTCTTAATTTCTTATACATTGATTCCTGAATCCTGATTCATGTAAACACATGCTCAGAGACTCATGGTTGTAAGTTCAGTGGGTACCTTAAAAGAGAAACTGTAAGGGTTCCTGTGTTTTCTTGTTCTAGCATAAGAATTTGACACTCAGGATATTCTGTGGTACAGAAAAAAAAAAAAACTGTCTTGTTGTTAAAGAATTGCCGCCAGTTTGATTTTGCAGCTCTTAAGCTGTTTAGTTTGGATCAAGATAAACAGAATGTGCAAAGATTTGAAATAAAAGAAAAAGTTGCAACAATATCAGTACCACAATTAAAGTCATAGTAGTAAATGAAGGATATGGCGTGCATAATTTTTGAATTGAATTCATATTTTCTTAAAACTATATGTGCAACCTTTTCTTAGCTTAATTGTGATCAAAATATGCACATTTAGGCGTTGCTCAGTTCACTTTTAAAAAAAAAAATTTAGTAAAATTAATTTCAGTTTAGTAAAAATAAGTTCAGTTCAGTAAAAATAATTTCAGTTTAGTAAAATTAGTTTCAATTCAGTAAAAATAATTTCAGTTCAGTAAAATTCAGTAACTTTAAAGAAGAAATATAATAGGGAAACAATAAAAATAATTTCAGTTCAGCATATTTAATTTCAATTTAGTAAAATAATTTCAGTTCAGTAAAAATAATTAAGTTCGGCAAAAATAATTTAAGTTCAGCAAATATAATTTCAGCTCAGTAAAATTAATTTCAGTTCAACAAAAATAAGGTAAAGTGAATGGGGCCTTAGTTTAAAAATGAATATGCACATTCAACTAAAAAGTGTGTGTAGTTATTTCTCATTTTAAGAAACTTCTCATGAGATCTCTTCGACTCTTCCCTATATACAACACACACACACATCTTTTGTTCATCTATTAAGTTATACTTTTCATGTTGCAGATGCAAAAGTTCAGGCTAATGGTGATTTGGATGCTATGAGGGATACTGGTGAAGAAACTCCCAAGACTGTGAGGTGTCAAAGAACAGGCAGAGTAAATTCTGTAGCATCAAAAGTGGATCCAAAACGTTCTGGGCGCAACAGAGGGAAATCTTCATTTGCAACGAATAAAAGGGTTCAAGTGCCCCATTCTCCCACTACTGAAAGTCCAGCAAAACAGGAAAAAGATGGACTTGTTCAAAACAAAGTAATCAACAATCATATAAATAAGTGCTCAACATTTCCGAGTGAACATCAGCTTTCAACTGAGAAAGAACGGTCACACATGTCACCTTTCTTCTGGTTACGAGAAGTAGAAAGTTCAAGTCCACAGACTGATGAGGATCAGACATTGACATGTACCCCAATGAAAGCCCCTTCTTTTAGTGATCTGAAGGATTCAGATGATGATGTGCCCGCAGAAAAATATGTTGAAGTAAGTTTGCAATTTCTATATTTCCACCAAGTTAAACGATATTATGATGAATTATGTGCTTAGTGTCTTGAAGCTCAGATGATGTGCTGACCTTTCTGCCTTTTAGTTAGGCTTTAGTGCA